GATTTTTGGTACCAATATTCAAGACCAAGACAAGATTTAAATTTTTGAAAATTTTCAATACCAATACAATATTTTTACGAATATTGTCTTGTCTTGGGTCTTGTGCAACCCTAATCATAATAGGAAATGTACGCCTCGGTGCAGGCATAGTAATAAAAGATTCGTTTCATACGCGAACGGAAACCTCGAATGAACGAAGGTGAAGGATTGATATAAACGAGTGCATCAAAATCATGAAAGTTGTTCCAGGTATATTAATCGAATCTTGACGTTCAATTCGAGACATCAATCACGTATAATTACTAGTTACCCACTCTACCAGAAGCGATGACGAAGAATGGTTGCAAATTAAACGAACGTACAAAATTATCGAAAGTTTGACGGAAATCGCTCGGTACAAATTACTGCCGATATTAATTTAACGATAACAATCGTTACTCTTTTATGCGTGTTATTAATTTCTAGCCAAATTATACTGAAATATCGCGCCGTTGCCTTTAATTCATAAATTTTTTTATCACTTAAATAAATATTATCAATATTATAATTTAAATAAATATTATCAATTATGCAATTTAAAATTTATTTGTGTTTCGAAATTTAAGAAAGCAAAGTTAAAAAAAATATATATAAATTGAACCGACCTCTATTTCAGAATTAAAATAGAAGTCTTAAGTATCAGCTTCGCGTTCTTTTATTTGAATAAGATAAGTAATAAGATAGAAACTGCTTTAACTTGAATATCGGGAAAAGATTAAAGGTCACAAATTTCTTTCGTTTCCGCGATTTTTATTTGTTCGGAAAAGAAAAATATTTTAATTATATATCATCAATGTGATCATCAACGATAATCAAGCATAAACATCAATTATCTGGTGTATAAAGTTTGCTAAAAGTGGAATAGGTAATCGTAATCAGACGTAAGTGTTGTAGGTCGCAATCTTTGCGCTGGCTGAGGCACGTGAAATCGTTACATGAAAAAAAAACAAGATTGCAATCAGCGGTGAGATGCCGTTAAATTAAGAGTTATCTGCGATATACACGACATACGCACAGCAGGTACATACAGGGTGGTTTAAAAGTCTGGAAACGGTCAATTATCTTCGAAAATAGTGGTCCTGTGGAAAAATGTTTCAGACAAAAGTTGTAAGGTTTTAAGTGACGCATTACACAGTAATATTACTATAATCTTGAAGAGTGTTGTTAAGATGACGTCAAGATCACCTTCAATTTCTTAAACAGAACCCCCTATTTTTTATTACATATTCTTGTAGTTTATCTCGAGAGCTTTCCAAAACACTATAATTAAGTTAGTTTTCATTAAGTACTTTTCGAATTATGAGGCTTGAAGTCATTTCTTAATTTTACGTAAACCGTAAAATATCTTGTAAAATATTCATTTTTTTATTATCTTATCTTAATGCTTTTACGTACATAATAATGGGAGGAATCAATTGGTGTAAAGAAAATACATAGTTATTTTTAAGAAAAGATATGTAATTGTTAATTGCAAATTCCATATTTTTTCTTTGAAACAACTATGTGTTTTCTTTACACCAATTGATTCCTCTCATTATTTTGTAAAATAAAAATATTAATATTATAAAATAAAAATTAAAATAAAAATTAAAATATTAAAGTAAGATAATCAAAAAATGAATATTTTTCTAGATATTTTATGGTTTATGTAAAATTAAGAAATAATTTCAAGTCTCATAACTCGGAAAGTACTCAATGAAAAAATACTTTATTATAGTGTTTTGAAAAGCTCTCGAGATAAATTACAAGAATATGTAATTAAAAATAGGGGGTTCTGTTTAAGAAATTTAAGATGGCCTTCACGTGATCTTAACAACACTCTTCAAGATCATATTAATATTACTGTGTAATGCGTCACTTAAAATCTTACAACTTTTGTCTGAAACATTTTCCCACAGGACCACTATTTTTGGAGATAATTGACCATTTCCAGATTTTTAAACCACCCTGTATATGTTATATCGTGACACTTGCATATCTTTCTGTAGGAAAGGAAATGGGAGAATGTAATGTCACTCTATTCCCACTGATTGTGAAATATATCGAGTCCACGGACATTTTCCGAATTATTTCAACGTTTTATTAATTTTCTCATCTAATTTTATTTCGATCTAATAATTTTCTCTTTTTAGAGTAATTAGGAAGTACAAAAAGATATATTAATAGAAGAACTAAAAAACAAATATCTTACACCACATTATTAATAATCACATTATTAATAACATTAAAGAATATTTTAATAAATTTCTTTAATATTCTTTCATCACATTTAAAAATGTAACTGAAATTTTTACGGATGAAGGAAATGGAGGAAACTTTTACGAAGAGATATCGCCCTCTCTGCACAGAAGCCCGCTGATAAGTCAATATTCCGCGACAGATTTCGGACATGTTAGGAATAACGATACAATAGCTACCGTTTTCCCTTCGTTTCCCTAAAAATCGTAACTTCGGAGTTAACAGGTGCGCGCCATCCGGCTTAGATTCAGCTTAGATTCGGAGCAGATCGCTGTTTGCCTTGTCAAATGGCAGCGGGACGCGTTAACAACCCGCAGGCTGTATCTGGCTTGTAGATGTAGCCGATACGTGTGTTGGGCGTGCACAGATACACGTACACCCACGTGTGTACCTAACGTATCTACTAGGGTTGCACGAGATACCAAGATTAGTCTTGATATTGTCTTGTCTTGAATTTCAAGACAGGATCAAGACAAGATTTTTAATTAGTTATCGAGACAATACCAAGACCAAGACTGTCAAGATTATTAGTCTTGTCAAGATTATTGGTTCTCAAAAAAACTAAAATATTTATATTTGTAAATGAAAAAAAAATCACTATATACGAGTTTAAAAAAATTGTATTCAATAAAAACATTTATATTGATAAATTTAAAAACATTTAATATTAATACAATATAACATTTTTATAAATTAGAAATCAAACTCGCAAATTTTAGACATTAATAACATTAAACTCTTCAAGATCGCCAGTAAATAAAATACAAGAAGTAATTAAAAACGACCACACTGGCAAATTTTATTAAAGTGAATCACGACGTTTCGACCATGGTTTTGGTCCTTTTCGAGTGAACTACAAAAAATTATTTCTAGTATTACACAAAAAAAATAAATTACATTGATTTTGAAATAAAAAATGAGCGGCAAGTTAAATACATAGTTCAATAAAAACATTTATATTGATAAATTTAAAAACATTTAATATTAATACAATATAACATTTTTATAAATTAGAAATCAAACTCGCAAATTTTAGACATTAATAACATTAAACTCTTCAAGATCGCCAGTAAATAAAATACAAGAAGTAATTAAAAACGACCACACTGGCAAATTTTATTAAAGTGAATCGCGACGTTTCGACCATGGTTTTGGTTCTTTTCGAGTGAACTACAAAAAATTATTTCCAGTATTACACAAAAAAAATAAATTACATTGATTTTGAAATAAAAAATGAGCGGCAAGTTAAATACATAGTTCAATAAAAACATTTATATTGATAAATTTAAAAACATTTAATATTAATACAATATAACATTTTTATAAATTAGAAATCAAACTCGCAAATTTTAGACATTAATAACATTAAACTCTTCAAGATCGCCAGTAAATAAAATACAAGAAGTAATTAAAAACGACCACACTGGCAAATTTTATTAAAGTGAATCGCGACGTTTCGACCATGGTTTTGGTTCTTTTCGAGTGAACTACAAAAAATTATTTCCAGTATTACACAAAAAAAATAAATTACATTGATTTTGAAATAAAAAATGAACGGCAAGTTAAATACATAGTTCAATAAAAACATTTATATTGATAAATTTAAAAACATTTAATATTAATACAATATAACATTTTTATAAATTAGAAATCAAACTCGCAAATTTTAGACATTAATAACATTAAACTCTTCAAGATCGCCAGTAAATAAAATACAAGAAGTAATTAAAAACGACCACACTGGCAAATTTTATTAAAGTGAATCGCGACGTTTCGACCATGGTTTTGGTTCTTTTCGAGTGAACTACAAAAAATTATTTCCAGTATTACACAAAAAAAATAAATTACATTGATTTTGAAATAAAAAATGAACGGCAAGTTAAATACATAGTTCAATAAAAACATTTATATTGATAAATTTAAAAACATTTAATATTAATACAATATAACATTTTTATAAATTAGAAATTAAGCTCGAAAATTTTAGACATTAAAAAGCATTTTACCCAGGAATTGATGCACATTAGTGCTTTTAAAGATTTACTTTGTAATCTGATTCTATTTTTTGACATAGTCAGAGTTCCTATTGAGAAAAGTTTTTCTACTGACATGGACGAGGCAGTTGAACTTAAATTGTCTCGAGCCATTTTTGACAATGTGGGATAAATATGAACCTGATTTTTTCACCATTCCAAAATATTTATATCTGCACATTCCCTTGGAGCCTGTAAATAGTTATTAAATTCTGTTTTCCATGAAACAGTAAATGTTCTTTTATGTAAATAGACGGCATTTATATCGATATAGTAATAATTATAATTAAAATATAATACAATAGTAATAATTATTTCAAATTCTATTACAAAAATTATGTTAAATATTATTGAAATAATTTTTTAATATTAGATAAAAAATTGTTAATAAAATCGAGACAAGACAATACAAGACGAGATTTTTGCTACCAATATTCACTCAAGATTTAAATTTTTGAAAATTTTCAATACAATATTTTTACGAATATTGTCTTGTCTTGGGTCTGGTGCGACTCTAGTATCTACAGTCGGAGAGAGCTTCTAACTCTCTCGCTTAGCGAATCGAGCAGTGGGGTGGCAGAGTGGGTGACGGGCGGATGGGTGGGCGGATGGGTCGGTTGGTCTGGCGGGTGGTAGCCTACCTCGGGTAGTAGTAGGTGCGCACCCTACGCGGCTACCAGGTGAGTGGGGCAGAGGCCAACCCCTGAGACACCCGACGCGAAACGCGAAAAACCACTTGTGCGTGTGTCGATCCTGCTCGTCGCGTCGTCGCTTCCCTTCTTCGATCGCTCGTCCGACAATCCGTTCTGGTTCTCGCCGCGATTCTCGTCCCCTTCGACGAGAGAGAGGCCTCTCCTCGTGTCTGTCCGACCGTCTTCTCTTCTCCGACTCTTTCTACTTTTGTCTGCCCTCGCCCGGAACTCGTCCCGCCCGAGAGGGCGACATTCGCCGGATCGAAAGTGATCTATGCCGATCGCGGGCGAGATATAAATCGTCGTGAGGTGTAGCGTCGATACGACAAACGGAGTGTAATATGTTTAAACTGGTCGCGAGGGAAAGTAACGTTCGATTTTGTCCGATCGTGACGCGAAGGTGACTTGACTTTTCTCCTCCGACGAAAATTCGGACGATAAATATTTCGAATGAGTCGAATATCCTGGTCGAAAATGTCCGTAGACTAAAATGCAAATTGATGTAAGTTTGACAGAAGAAGTCTCTGAGCTAAGAGGAATTTTCATATATTAAATAATATATTAAAAGTGAAAGGTAAAAATGTAAGAATAGAAATTTATGTGTGTGTATCGTGCAAATATATGTAAATCCTATTATACCAAAGTATAGAAATGAAAGAAAAGTGATGGGCAATTTTTAAATATATTTAAATTCACTTGCACGCACGTTATACTTTAGAGAAAATATAAAAGTATAAATAAAATATAAGAGGATACAGTATAACAGAAAAAAGTGTATAAGAAGATTAAATGAAATTGAATAAAGTAGGCAAAAGAAGATTAAATAATAAAATTGATTAAAGTAAGCGAAAAAAATGAAAATTCTACGCATCTGAATTATTTTATATTGTCGAGTTATATTTTATCGTAGAGAAGCACGTACATAATTTTCTATATTTTATATCAATCACTTTTTTGCGTCATTTTTAATGACTTTCATAGAGCTATAATTATTAAATGGAAGAGTGCCTTTTTGCGATGGTTTTCTTTCCGGCCAGGATTATCGACACGTCTTTATGATGGATTATAATATCATTGAGTAGATTATAATATTATGGAATGCATTATAAGATACGCTTTTACATCAAAATCTGATTATTTTTTAATTCAAAGTGAGAAAATTTTTTCATATTATCATAATTGAGAAGAATGGTGTAATTTTTTTAATACTCGTAAAATGGCAAAAATGGCGATTGAATCTTTATCAATTTGAAGATTAAAATTTTAGATTAAAATTAATAATAGATTAAAATTTAGATTAAAATTAATTTTAGATTAAAATTTAGATTAATTTTAGATTAAAATATTCCTGAAAGTTTACATAGAACGACCCGATTTTTAATCGAGAGAATCATGTGGCATTGACAGATAAAGTCGTGTAAAACCTCGTGAAGTTTTATATTTGAAGAAACGTTTATTTCAACCGAAAGTCGATCCAAGCAGATCGTCGAAACGATCCTTGAAAGATCACGTGACGTCGAAAAGACAGCGGCTTCATCGATCCATTCTGAGCCTATCTGGGTACAACTAGGCCGCCTTTCCAGGATCCTCGACGGACGATCTGCTGTAGATCCTGAAGAGAAGTTTCGAAAGTTATCTCGAATATTTTGCGAACTCGAAAGCTCCTTTACACAAAAAGATTGTGACGAAAAGATAATTCGTTAACGTCGCGATAATCGAGAGTATTTTCGAAGGGCTCTAAACGTAAGAATTCATCAAACTTTTGTTTAAAATCGTTCAGTATTATTTAAAATATATTAGTTAAATTATTAGATAAAAGTAAGACAAACGAAAAGACAAAGTGCAACAGAGAGATAATTTTATCGGAATAGAAAGCACAACTTTAACAATTATATTAAAAATTAAAAAAAATGCTATACAATACGGTACGGATTATACTAATCTTACTTTATCTCATCGCGAGAAAATTACACACGGAAAATGACGTGATATTATATTAATAAATAAAAATAATCATGACGTGATATTATATTAATAAATAAAAATAATCATCTGTGTGTTCTCGAGAGTATTATTACTAAAGCTTTTAAACTGATTATTTGATTGATGAAAAAATAGCAAATGCAATAATAAAAAATAACAGAAAATGATAAGTGTGACAAGAACATAAGATAGAAAGAGGAAACGTATCTTAAAAATTAATTATTCGCATGGAGAAAGTAGAGACTGTGAGAACTAAACATTTAAATAGGAGTAAAAGCGGTACAGACAGAAGAAACGATAAGAAAGGGTCGGATAAAAATACACAGCGTGTACAGTTATTTTAAAATCTACTATAATGGAAGGCATGATTCACGAATTAACTAAGATCAATGCTATCCGTATGAAAATAGAAGAAATACGTATTAGCTCGCGTATTGTTCGGTTAATTAATCGGTAAATAATTACGATTGAGCTTCCATTTAAACACGATAGCAATTTACCGTTAGAGATGTAACATATGTAACAATGAACGTGACACAATGCAACACACTAGCGACTTGTTGCACATGCACAAATGTATGTTAATTCATTAATTTTCTGTAAATTTCATCCTTGTATTGCGACTCCTTTAAACGCAGAATATTGCATTCATTATTATTATTTCTACCTTTTATTATTATTTATTAAGAAATTATTTATTAAGAATATTTTATTCTCGATTATTTGTGAAGAATATTTTATTCTTATTATTTCACTCTTTTATTTTTATCAGCCTTTCTTTTAATTCTAGTACTGTTTTTATAATTTTATTTTTACATTTGTCGGCTTTGACAATGCAAGCTTTGTCGCGCAATTGTTATTATTACATTATGTTAATGGAATCGTGCAATATGTCTGCAAACAACGATGAAACACGTTTCTCTGGGGATCATAATTCACCGTGTGACGGCAAAACGGCTCTGCTTTCGGTCTTTCGAACTCACGGATCGTTTTATCCGCCATTCATCATCCGGGGGGGAGGTGTCGCTGTCAATTTTCAGTACCAACCACGAGACTTTTTTTCGATTCGCTCGTCGTAGTTTCGTTTTTCCCCTCGACCTCGTTCGGAAATTGAGAGGAAAAGAGCAAGAGCGAGAGCGAGAGAGAGAGCGAGAGAGAGAGCGAGAGAGAGAGAGAGAGAGAGAGAGAGAGAGGGAGAGAGAGAGAGAAAGAGAGAGAGAGAGAGAGAGAGAGAGAGAGAGACAGGAGGCACACATGGGTGAGCTCATTTGTACGTTAATGTACAGTTTGACATACGGGATCGATGTTACACGCGAATGAAAACGATCAACGGAACTGAAACAAGACTCAATGTCAACCTCATCTGCGGGGCGTTCGCGATTTATATCATCGCATGATTACGCAATTATACGCGTGACACTATTAAATCTCGCTGAATCGGATCGAAATCAAAGTACAAATACTCCTTCGCAAATTTTACCTACACAAATGAATGAATAAAATAAACGTTACGAGAATACGTAGATAGAGTATATCACGATTAAAGTTGTGAGAAAATTTTATATCGTCGTTCGCGTGATCGGAGGCGTAAAAAGGAGTACGCTACTACTCAATTACGGGACGGGGGAAACAAAATATTCGTGAAAAAGAAAACACCCGGTGAATAAAGTCTAATGCCTAATGACACGCGATACCTCGCAGTTTCGTGTATCCCTTGCGCTATCGAGGGTTTTAATCTCCGCTAATTAAACTGGACAATTTCCACGTGTTATCAAAGTCGGCAGTCACGACGACAACGTATTACGAACATTCGTTGTTCATCCTTCTCTCTCTTTATGTATATATTAATTGTATACGTATACAGAGTGTTTCTTAATAAGTATGAAAAATTGTAGGAAATGATTCTTTGTTGAAGCTTAAGGGAGGTTTCTCCAAAAATGAAGATCAAAATTAAGTAATAAATAGCATAGGTTTCGAATTATAAAGAGTTAAATTTTGAAATAAAAATAAAATTAGAGTAAATGTTGGAAAAATTGAAACAAAAAATTATAATAAAAACCTAAAAAATAGAAACCTAATTTTTATCCCCATTTTTGGAGGAGTGTAACTCTACAGAGAGGGGTGTAGGAGTATAAGTTTATATGAAAAATTCTCCTCAATTTTCAACAAAGAATAATCTAAAATTTTAATTTTTCCTCAAATTTGGAACAAGTTAAAGAAATGAAATTAGGTGGATATTTTCTACCAGTAAAAAGTTATTTATTAATATTTTTTTCAGCTTCCCGTATTGTTAAGGGGATGAAACTAGCAACCCCTATTCAATTTCGTATTAGAACTTTTTAATGGGCCGGAATACGATCATCTAAAAATATGCGTTAAAAAGTTTGATTTATTTAGAAACTTTTTTATTTCTTTTATTTTTTTTCATAAAATCAGTAGTTTTCAAGACAAAAAAATACGTTATCATGCACAGCACGATGCTAAATAGCATGGGTTTCAAATCATGAAAAGTTAAATTTTGAAATAAAAATAAAATTAGAGTAAATGTTGGGAAAATTGAAACAAAAAATTATAATAAAAACCTAAAAAATAGAAACCTAATTTTTATCCCCATTTTTGGAGGAGTGTAAGTTTATATGAAAAATTCTCCTCAATTTTCGACAAAGAATCATCTAAAATTTTTCGCACTTATTAAGAACACTCTGTATATGTATATATATATATATATATATATATATATATATATATGTGTGTATGTGTGTGTGTGTGTGTGTGTGTGTATATATATGTATATATATACATGATTTACATGATATGATACATGCTGTTAGATTTTATGGACCGCTGATGTGTAATAAAAATAGCGAAGCCTAAAGGAACGCACGGTGCGTTAACTACTCTCTCTTTTTTTCTCTTCCTAACGCTGCGTCTCTCGCAGCAAGTACTCTACGTAAACCGGTATCACGCTCTTTTAATCAAGCAGATAAAACGGTAAAAGATAAAAATTGAACGAATGAATGGCAGAGCCTATAAGCGCGATACACGTGTACCTCGCTTATTTTAAATAGTTAATTTCGTCAGCTTTTTTCTTTTACTTAGGTAATTGCTTTTTATTCTACTCATTTGTTTATTTGCGATATTTATCTTTATCTATCTAGTTTCTTTGTTTTGTTGCGAATGGAGTTTTTATTTTTATTTTTCCACGTTAATTGCCATTTTATTTTTCGAATTTTGTGAACGATATAATTTATTAACGTTGCAAGAAACAGAAACTCATCGATTAGGGAGGTCAATTGTGTCTTCATCAAGCATTGACGAATTGAAATTCAATTTAATAACACTCGATCGAAATCTTATTTGCATTTTCGGGCGATGTTACGTAAAAAATTGAAAAACGATATCCGTCTTTCAATATGTCTCTGATTATATAAAAATTTAGTTGAACGATTATTTAATTTTTTTCTTAAGTACATTGATACTTATCATACATTTATAATTAATTAAAAAATATAGAAACATGATGTGAAAAATTGGATAAATTTTCTGATTACAAATAAATACTTTTAGCCTGAGCTTTGATTGTCAACTACGACATGTGAGAAATTGCAAATCCAAATGTTATGAGAAATAGAATATCTTTAAGAATACTCAATTTTTTTTTAAATACTAATTGTTTGGATTTTTTCAAAAAATTTATCTATTTTTAAAAATTTATTTATTTTTATTAATCGCTAATCGTTCGCATAATAATACTTTCAGAATTAATCGTACGATCAATCCGGACGATTTTTCGCGATTTAAGACTGAAGATCTGCTGAGAGTTTAATCGGCGTTGCTCCAGAACGAATCCGAAGGGGAAAAAAGAGCGAATCTTCTTCAGTCGAGATTCTTCCCCCTTCCCTCCTTTTTTCGCGCGCGAAATCCGCGCCGGCATAAAAATAGAAACTGTCATTCGATAAATCGATTTCGCATTGCCGAGACTACCGTTTGAGGAAACTGTGAATGTATAGTAAAACATTGTTTCCCGGTTGTGCGTGTGTGCACGTGTGAAAGTACTATCTACGTGAGCTGCAGTAGAACATCATGAGTGCATCCGGCGCCATTCCCCTGATCCTGGCGAAGAAGGAGCAGATCGTCGAAGGCAAGTAGCCGCTCTCGTTTCTTCCTTTTATTTTTAAAAAAATTAATTTTCTATTATTATTATTAAATTATTAAAATAATTATTAAATTATTAAAATAATTATTAAATAAATAAAAATTATTATTAAATTATTAAAATAATTATTAAATTATTAAAATAATTAGTAAATTATTAAAGTAATTATTAAATTATTAAAATAATTATTAAATTATTAAATTAAATAAAATTTCGGTACCAATATATATTAAGCGCAAGTTTACAAAAGACGTCGGCAAAATCAGTTTTATCCGAAACTCTTGTTTATAAAACGATGACAATATCCTCGAAAATCTGTCATTAATATATTCATCTGGGTAAACGATAAAAATATGAAATATTGACGCAAGTTATTGATACGGCAATTTTTTTCTTTTATACTTTTTACATCGATGATGCGCGATAATAGCGTAACCTGAAGTTAACGATTAGATAATTCTAAGAGAACGTGGTTATTATTACGCTCGCGTATATTTAACGTATGCAAATTCCGCATAATGCGGCGTGAAACGCTTTGTAATAGACGCGTGATCCTTGAGAGGAAAATAGACGTCTTTAAATAGATTGAACACTAGATATAAATCTTGCATCGCGTTACTGTTCATGAATTGTTTGTAGAAATAATCGATGCGGTATGCTGCGTTATGTTAATAGTGGTTGAAAATATACCGCGGGAAGAAAGGTCGGATCAATTAAATATACGAGGAAATTAGGTGCATGCTAAGAGAACAACAATCTAAATTGCACATGCTTTCTTGGAGAAAAAAAATCCCCTTGTACATTTTTTTTCTTGAAACAAATTTTCTCTTTTTTATTAGGAAAAGAAACAGAGAGGAAATAATTAATCAGAAGTATAGAATCGATGAAAAAATTTAAAGAAGACCTTTCCTCGGAAATAATTGCAATCGCAAGATCGGATAATGGAGTTTCGCGTTCAATTGACATCGAGCTAGAGGAATCCCTTAATTGCGTAAAGCGTTGATCGATACGCGACAAGCGATTAATCGATCTACATACATCGGGGACGCACGAGAGGGAGGCGTCGTAATCGGTTTGACATTAATTGAATTTCCGGGGCGATGCGTTTTTTCCATTATTTTCGCGTCGAAACGCGATTTTGGCACGAGAAGGTCGTTCTGCGTCGCGTTCTCGAGCACGGGGACGTCTTTATCGCACACCTGCAGCGGAAAATCCGATGATTGCTCCGTCTATTCTTACTCTTCACCTGGATTCCTCGGTTTAAACCACGTACACGTGATGCCAGGAATGGCGAATCCGAAGATAAGGATCAGCGATGGTGGATAAGCAGGCTCATGTGAGAGAAGGATATACTCGCTGTTTCCTCTCTGAGATCAAACAGCGAAAATAATAACTTTGGCGCGAGCGCTCTCGAGCAACGATAATAGTTGGAATGTTGATTTATCCGCCGATCTATCTAATATTCGATATGCGAAGGCGAAGATTCTCCACGTGGAAGGATTCAAATATAGTTAACTCAACGATTAAATATAGTAACTATCGAGGTAACTATCCAATTTCGGGCAAACTTGTATCATTATTATATCAAATTCATCAATTCCAAAAATAAAGATAATTAATAATAATTTATTAGTAATAATAAATTATAATAATAAATAATTTCTTAGAAATAACTTTTATTTGAAAATAATTGTCAAATTTCGTTGAAAGAATCTTAAATGCAAGTCTCTTAATAATTGCGTCGCAAAATGTTTATTAATAATTGCTATACACGTGTCTAACGTTTTGCTAATGTTTTAATAATAATTTATTAGTAATAATAAATTATAATAATAATAATAATTTCTTAGAAATAACTTTTATTTGAAAATAATTGTCAAATTTCGTTGAAAGAATTTTAAAATGCAAGTCTCTTAATAATTGCGTCGCAAAATGTTCATTAATAATTGTTGTGCATGTGTCTAACGTTTTGCTAATGTTTTAATAATAATTTATTAGTAATAATAAATTATAATAATAAATAATTTCATAAAAATAACTTTTATTTGAAAATAATTGTCAAATTTCATTGAAAGAGTCTTAAAATGCAAGTCTCTTAATAATTGCGTCGTAAAATGTTTATTAATAATTGTTGTGCACGTGTCTAACGTTTTGCTAATGTTTTAATAATAATTTATTAGTAATAATAAATTATAATAATAAATAATTTCTTAGAAATAATTTTTATTTGAAAATAATTATCAAATTTCGTTGAAAGAATCTTAAAATGCAAGTCTCTTAATAATTGCGTCGCAAAATGTTTATTAATAATTGCTGTGCACGTGTCTAACGTTTTGCTAATGTTTTAATAATAATTTATTAGTAATAATAAATTATAATAATAAATAATTTCTTAGATATAACTTTTATTTGAAAATAATTGTCAAATTTCGTTGAAAGAATCTTAAAATGCAAGTCTCTTCATAATTGCGTCGCAAAATGTTTATTAATAATTGCTGTGCACGTGTCTAACGTTTTGCTAATGTTTTAATAATAATTTATTAGTAATAATAAATTATAATAATAAATAATTTCTTAGAACTAACTTTTATTTGAAAATAATTGTCAAATTTCGTTGAAAGAATCTTAAAATGCAAGTCTCTTAAAAATTGGGTCGCAAAATGTTTATTAATAATTGCTGTGCACGTGTTTAACGTTTTGCTAATGTTTTAATATTAATTTATTAGTAATAATAAATAATAATAATAAATAATTTCTTAGATATAACTTTTATTTGAAAATAATTGTCAAATTTCATTGAAAGAGTCTTAAAATGCAAGTTTCTTAATAATTACGTCGCAAAATGTTTATTAATAATTGCTGTGCACGTGTCTAACGTTTTGCTAATGTTTTAATAATAATTTATTAGTAATAATAAATTATAATAATAAATAATTTCTTAGAACTAACTTTTATTTGAAAATAATTGTCAAATTTCGTTGAAAGAATCTTAAAATGCAAGTCTCTTAAAAATTGGGTCGCAAAATGTTTATTAATAATTGCTGTGCACGTGTTTAACGTTTTGCTAATGTTTTAATATTAATTTATTAGTAATAATAAATAATAATAATAAATAATTTCTTAGATATAACTTTTATTTGAAAATAATTGTCAAATTTCATTGAAAGAGTCTTAAAATGCAAGTTTCTTAATAATTACGTCGCAAAATGTTTATTAATAATTGCTGTGCACGTGTCTAACGTTTTGCTAATGTTTTAATAATAATTTATTAGTAATAATAAATTATAATAATAAATAATTTCTTAGAAATAACTTTTATTTGAAAATAATTATCAAATTTCGTTGAAAGAATCTTAAAATGCAAGTCTCTTCATAATTGCGTCGCAAAATGTTTATTAATAATTGCTGTGCACGTGTCTAACGTTTTGCTAATGTTTTAATAATAATTTATTAGTAATAATAAATTATAATAATAAATAATTTCTTAGATATAACTTTTATTTGAAAATAATTGTCAAATTTCGTTGAAAGAATCTTAAAATGCAAGTCTCTTAATAATTACGTCGCAAAACGTTTATTAATAATTGCTGTGCACGTGTCTAACGTTTTGCTAATGTTTTATTAATAATAAATTTTAATAATAAATAATTTCTTAAAAATAACTTTTATTTGAAAATAATTCTCAAGTTTCGTTGAAAGAGCCTTAAAATGCAAATCTTCTAATAATTGCGTCGCAAAATGTTTATTAATAATTGCTGTACACGTTTCTAATGTTTTAATAATAATTTATTAGTAATAATAAATTATAATAATAAATAATTTCTTAGAAATAACTTTTATCTGAAAATAATTGTCGTTGAAAGAGTCTTAAAATGCAAGTCTCTTAATAATTGCGTCGCAAAATGTTTATTAATAATATTGCTGTGCACGTGTCTAACGTTTTACTAACGTTTTAATAATGATTATATGAGTCATAAATCGATTTAACGCGTCACAATATCGATTCCGGAACATTAAACACAAAGATCAACGGTTATGTACAACAGATAACGAAGCTCTTATCGTCGGTACTTCTCAGTTAAGCTCGTTTATTATCTAACGTTTCGCGTTCGGGTCGGGGCCGACATTGTATGAGCAACGATATGTAAATGCGGGCCATTGGGAACAATAGCGGCGAATCCCCTTGGATTAACCCTATCCAGAAGTAACTGTCTATTGGATGATCTCTCACGCGGAAACGAAAACGAGCTCCGCATCGTTTTGCCGTTGAATTTTCGATTCGACCTCGTCATTAATCCCAATTAATCCCTTAGTTCCCTTAATAAGAAGTCTCGCAAATCCTATAAAAACCACGCTCGAATATATTAGAACCGTTGATAGACGAATGGTGATACGCGAATGATGCAATCCACTTTTATCAGATGAAATTTTAACGATGGATTGATTCTTCGACGAATTTGCAATCGATTTTTCTCTCGCACATATTTGACGACGAATCACTATCTCTAACTATATAAAAATGTTCAATGTGGCGCTAAATTATTCAATAAATTATTTAATTTGTATGTCGTAGAGCGAATTGCAAATTTGAATGAAGAATTGCGCATCTAATTATTATTCTCATTATTTTATTTGTAATTTCACATTATTTCATTTTATTTGTAATTTGATCTTAATTATTTATCTAATTATTTTTGTCACCGTATTATTTCATTTGTAAATTTTGACATAGCAGAGTATATACTTTTCTAAGCACTCTGAAGCATGTATTATGCACTTTATGAACATTTGATGTTTTCGCCCCTTCTACTTTTTGCTTGCAATCCTTTAACCAAGTGTTTTTTAGAAAAGTATTAATCGATTTTGAAAAAAAAATATATAAGTAATATATAAAAATTAATATTCAAAATATTTCTTATAGTCTTTAAGGATGTTTTGTACCTATTTTCAAAATATTGAGAACTTAATGAAAATTGTATAGAATG